TGGATCACCCAAGTGTAGTCCTATATGCTCCTGTCCTATAGCGATGACGTGACCGTTTGAACTACTATGCTATCCGTGTGTCATGTGTCAAATAATTTAAGACCAAACTGGGGATCAACAACCATATATGCGCCCATAACAGAAAGCAAAAACAAAGTTTACCATCGACGGCGATGTACATACATCATGGAGGATTATATATCTCTCTCTCTTTCATCTCTCTTATAAAGCAATAGTTACAACAAAGCTTCTTTGGTCGCCTTAAAAAGTGTTAAGTTTTAAATTTCAATTTAATTTCGCCATTTAATAATAATTATAGAATAATAATTTAAGAATGATTGTCGTTTATGGGTGACACAACGTTTTTACTATTGCCGCAATTCAATTGTATACAGAGTGGGTAATTTTGTACTAAACCACTTAGTGGTTACGGCTTTTGCATGCACTTGAATGAAATTATTATAAAAACATATTCTTGTAAAGATTAAAGGAAGTTTGTTGAAGAATAGCTTACTAACTACTAATAAGTCAATTTTAGTACGAGTACAAAACCGTGTGGTGACGGATTAAGAATACAGAGTGTCACCACCCGTAATCATCCCGTGGGTGTCGTAAGAGCCGACTAAGGGAGAAAGCTACGCAGAACAACAGCACTGCAGAGAGAAGGAAAACTCGACACAAACCCTATACCAAACCGTCTGGCCAGCGTGGTATAGTAGGCCAAAACCTCCTTTCTAAGGAGAGGCTTATGTCCAGCAGTGGACTAATAAAGGCTGTTGATGTGATGTGTGAAAACATTTGAAACCTTCTAAATACTATAAATCACGTGAATGTGATATATATTTTTTAAATAAAGGGGAAAAATATTTTTGAATCCTTTTGAACTCCCGTGATCACACTTCGCTAACACTGATTTTCTGTGAGGTCGAGCGGATCGATTTATGCCTTAGAAAAACTACACGTGCATAACCACACGCGTCAATAAAATAGAACAGTCCTAACGGTCAAAATCCAATCACCAGGCGATATCTAATGTATGCAAATAACTAGAAAACATAGCAGTTCAAAACGATGTTACGTCATTCAGTTTTCTTCATCATTATTCAGGCACGCGACAATCAATACAAAAGGTTACCAATTAAACGTTAAATACATAATAGTTGAATCAATTTACTACTACAATTAGTTTGTCCCACTACCATACTTTTTCATTCTTTATCTTATATATAAAATTCTCGTGTCACAATGTTAGTTACCATACTCCTCCGAAACGTCTGGACCGATTTTTATGAAATTTTGTGTGCACATCGGGTAGGTCTGAGAATCAGCCAACATGTATTTTTCATACCCCTAAATGACTAGGTGACCCATCCCTAAATTATTATTTTTTAATTTCTTAGAAATAATGTATGTGGCAAAACATACGTTTGCCGGGTCAGCTAGTATTTATATATATTTAGGTCCTTATGGTAATGTTAATGTATTTTGTCCATGTATGAGAGGGGCTCGTGGCTAAGTGATAACTGAATTGCAAAGTTAAGCACTCCTAACGAGGTCAGTCTATGGATGGGTGACCATTCAAACACATTAAGACCCCACCCACGTAAAGCCGTCGATCCCGGTTGCTATACGAACATCTGTGGCAATCGTTACGGGTAGTTGGGGAGCCCTAAAACGTCCGACAACAGTACTTCTACAGACCTCCGATATCGACTAGTTCTTGGCTTGTACTAGAGGTGTGGTGGCAGTTGGCAGTAAAAACATCGAAGCTCAGCGATATTGTAGTAGACTTAAAAGCCGACCCCAACCCAGTTTGGGAAAAAGACTGAATGTTGGTGTATGTTCTACTAACATTGTTGCTCACACAACTTCGCTTTTTTTATGGAATAGGAGGCAAACGAGCAGACAGATCACCTAATGGAAAGCAACTACCGCCGCACATGAACGCCTGCAACTCAGGGGTCACAAGCCTTTGAGGAAGGAGTATACTCTTATCTTGAAGGTTGTATCAGTCCGGAAATAACTTGTTCCACAGGTTGGTGGTGCGAGGCAAAAAGTGTCTGTAACTGCGCACGGTGGTGGAGCGCCAATTATCCAAGTGGTGAGGATGAAAATTTTGATGAAAACGATGGCGGAAGGTTGCAGCCGGTATTAGTCCGAACAATTCCTCGGAGCACTCTCCATGATATATACGATAGAGAATGTAGAGCGAAGCTACTTCTATACGTAATGACAAGGGATCAAACCGGTCGCAAATGTTTTGGATATCAACGATGCGAGTCGCTCTTATAAATAGATAAGTGAAATAAACGTGACGTATCTTTAAAGTTGCTGTTTATTAATCTCGATGAGAACTAAGAATTCAATTTAACCATTATCCAGCTGAATCACAATCATCTTACAGACACGTCGATGGCTTGAAAGTCATTTGAGGGTTCATCGTCGAGTTGTTACAATAATGTTTTAATTGTAACGTTCTTTACTGAAGATCCATCCTTCGGCGCAAATGGGCCCTCTCGACCGGCATGATATCACGGGCTTACAGCGAACCGACCTTAACCCCCATAATTCTAAAAGGGGAGACCTCAAAGGGCAGCAAGCACTTGTGACTTAGTTGGAGGTGTCCATGGATGCCAGTAGTCGCTTACCAATACGTAGTACGTATGCTCGTTTGCCCCCTATGAGATAAAAAAGAATAAGTTTGCCACGAATTCCTGCCTCAGGGACTCAGTCGATCATCAGAAAAACTAAGAACTAAACACCTCATAAGGGTTACAGAAGACATTGGCATAAAGGTTTAAAGGAAAATTAAAAATGAAGCTCATAAAACGGATAAAAGTTTTAAGGGAAAATAATGTTAGCAAGAGTCAACAAGGAAACTGACATAAACGGTAACAATATTAGTATCGATATTCGAATTTTTTCACCTTATAAAACGAAATATCATGATGGTCTAAACTGAACGGTTACGGCAAATGTTTTGCAGTACTTCAACCAGATCATAATATCTTATATCACTGCCAAGAAGTCCGCATCTAAGTAGGTCATGGCTATAATGATAATATATATTAATATCACTCCAATATAATATTACCCAAACAAAATTTGCTTTCGAAGTTGCACAACATTAATACATCAAGTTAACAGTAGTGGCAAGGCAAAAAAATCTGGTTCAAATTCTTCCTAAAGTCCGTCACTGAGTGTAACAAATTAAGATTGTCAAATTTGTGATGACAGACTTGAAGACTAAATATAGAAGAGCCATGGTACACCACAGATGGGCTGATTCGACCATAGGTAATCCAAGGCTCACAGAGAACCGGTGTTATGTAATTATTTTGTTGTTTTTCATCAATTGAGTGGGTTTTTTTTTCACCAATAGTAGGCCAAAACCTCCTTTCTAAGGAGAGGCCTATGTCCAGCAGTGGACTAATAAAGGCTGTCGATGTGATGATGATGATGATGTGATGAGTGGGGTTACCTATTGACATTTTATGTTACGTTTATAATTTATATTCCCATTTAATAAATTATGTTGCGTGTATAATTTTTCCTCATGTTATTGGTGTAATACAGGATATTGTTTTGTGTCAAACCCTATTTAACTTGTATTTGTATCTTTTGACATATTATGAAAATGTTGTGGGCATGATATATTAGTGTGAATTGTATACATTTAATTTAAATATGATATATTACTAAAAACCTAATTTTTGAAAGCCTTAATCGGCCGGACATGATTGACTTTGCATCCAATGACACCGTAGATATAGTTACATGACTATGTATTGTGTTCAGCAATTAATAAATAATTAAATGATTGAGATGAATAATCATTCCTCCATATGTTTATGGGGAGTTCTCTCAAAAGGTGGCAACGCACTTGTGTCGTATGAGCCTGCAGCTCAGATTACCGATGGGTGGTTATAGTCATTTACCATAAGCTGACCTGAAAAAAAAAAAAAAAAAAAAAAGCTGACCTGTCTGTTAGTTCGTTGCCTTCGTATTCCGTACAAAAACCCTCTTAAGTAAACACAATACAAAAATAAACAACTTATTTTTTTTTTAAATTGTTTGCAAGTTTTCCAGAAAAGTTAGTCAAACCTTTTTATTTTGTGTAAATACCTAATGGAATTCAAATATTAGTAAGCTCGAAAATAGTAGACGAAGTTTAGTAATACCAAAATAATCCTATTACGGATTTTGAATTTCAATACTCTATTAGTTTAGGGTATTTAAAATTATCACTGTTTAATTAACATTGTTATCTAAATGAATAAAATAACATTACTTGCATATAAGCGGTGTTTACTTATAAGTGGATGTTGCATTGCTATTAAAAATGCGATTATGTATTAATTAAAGGAATTAATGTGAACAGTGTCCTTGATAAACTTTTAATAGAAAAATAAAAAAGTACTTGCAAATAGCTAGAAAAAGACAACTGCTTTCTATGAAATTTTATTGAGAGTTCGGAGTAACGTTTTGAGACGAAAAATGGAATTGTGCGGAAAATTTGGAAACTTTTTTTGAAGCCTTTTTACCGTTTTGTTAAGGAGGGAAGTGCAATTTTTTTCTGATTAATTTCGCTGTGGGTACCAAGACAGTTTAATTTTTTTGTGAGAATGCCCGAGTGTCATAACTCGGTGTGTTCGTGGGTCACTGCTGTTGATCATGGGGTACAGGAGTTACAGTGGTGGACGTGTGGGAGGGATTAGTCCAAAATAAAACCTTTTAAGATGTTTTCGGGCCTAGGTACTGCAATGAAGTAAATTATATGAAATTTAAGAGACAATAGTCTTATTTTTAAAGTACTACGTAATACACTATAAAAACCACAAAACAGTACTTCTATTATTTTTAAATGAGTTTATCTCGAAACTAAAAGATATAAATGTCAAAGATCAGCGGCCTCCTCAATTCTCGCATATTAATATCGTACGAAATTACTTCAGTTCTAAAAAAATTGTGCTAAGACCCGTTGTGTGTATTACGTCAAAATGTGGTGGAAGATAGCTCTACTATTGGTTTTTGCAATCAATCAATCAGTAAGTTTATTTACACACACACACACTTGTATTATTGATAAATCAATGATTTTCAATTTTTAGCAAACATTTCATTGAACGTTCGAGAAAAATCACTTTGTTCCAAATAAATCCCAAAATTAACAAAAATCCACAAAGCATCATCATCATCATCATTATCATCAGCCTTTAATAGTCCACTGCTGGACATAAGCCTCAGCAAAGCATCAGCATTGTCATATTCTGATAACGTCTATATCGTATTTTATTTTCTTAATTATTTTTCTTCGTCTATCATTTATACTTCAGCCATAACCATCCCTTCCACCATAAAGAATATTGCTGGCTTCTTGGTATTTTTGTAACCAAAAACTTAATGTCAGCTTAAATTTTTTTTTAAATACATTGCAGTTGACAACCTCCTTTGATCTCCGCGGCGTGATCAATGGTAACCGTATGGCTGGTGTGCCGCTGGGCATGTCTCTAGGAGCCGGTGAGTTGGACGTGGAAGGTATTTGCATACGCTCTGGAATGGCATGTCAGAATTGCACTGTATCCATTACTTGCGTGCCGCTACCCGTCGGATGGCTTAAGGTAAACATGTGACGGCATGACTTTTGAAACTATGATGTTACAATAATCAAGGTGCAATAGTTAATCTATTTTGGACTAAGCAAGTTTAAATTTAACTACAAAAGAAATTATCGTCTGCATCCAGGTACCCTTAGAAGAATGCAAAGACGGGTTCACGTGCAATGCTGGCCTTGGCAAATGTTCCAAAGATGCAGCTCCTGAATGTGAAGCCAGCGCTCGACAGTTTCAACATACTTGCGAACAGGTAAGTTTAAATTGAACAATGAGCTTTGTAAACTATTTAAGTTCTCATAAACATCTTAATGTGATATTGTAAATGTTCATCTGTTCTGGATTTTATGTTAATGATTTACTTGTCGTGCAATTTTCGCATTTATTTTTTGTTTTGATAAGACCTAAAATTATCAGTTTTCAAGCCAAACAACAACGACCTAATTTAGACAGAAGAACAGACAGAAGATTAGACTACAAGATATCTACAACCGCATGTTGTATACAAATCCACATTGGTAATTGTACATACAACAAGAATATATTATACTAGCTGACCCGCGCAACTTCGTCTGCGTCTCTCAATAGTAATAAATTTTCTCCGTTTTTTAAAAATTCCTCATTGGTGCTTCGCTCTTATTGGTCTTAGCGTAGCGTATAGCCTATAGCCTCGATAAATGGGCTATCTAACACTGAAAGAATTTTTCAAATCGGACCAGTAGTTCCTGAGATTAGCGCGTTCAAACAAACAAACAAACAAACTCTTCAGCTTTATAATATTAGTATAGATTGTTCGAGTAATACAGTACACAAATAAGTATGCATGTATGGCCTTTATGTGACTGTATAAAGCTTTCTAAATATTTTTCTGAACTCGTATTATCTTTTATATAAAATTCTCGTGTCACAATGTTCGTTCCCGTACTCCTCCGAAACGGCTTGACCGATTCTCATGAAATTTTGTGTGCACATCGGGTAGGTCTGAGAATCGGCCAACATCTATTTTTCATACCCCTAAATGTTAAGGGTGACCCATCCCTAATTTTTTTTTGTTTTGCAATACAACGTTTGCCGGGTCAGCTAGTGTACTATAAATTTATATTAATTTGTACATTTAAAATTTTAATCTTAACTATTAAACGATAACTTCGTATAGTTTTTAATTTTAAAGGTCCTAAATGATTAACGAAATTTATAGCAATGTTTCTAAAACATAGAACACTAATTTCATTCAATGTTTTTCAGGTAGGAATATTTCCAGACGCCTACGATTGTAGAAAGTTTCATTTGTGCTCACCCCCTGAAGGTTTGCCTGATGGAAGGCCAGCAGATCACAGAGCGGCTTTGTGTCCAAGACATTATGGGTACAATCCTCAAACTGCTCAATGTTCTGTAAGTATTCGAATGTTTATATCTAACAAAAACTGAAAAATCTACATATAGGTATAATCTACATGAATAGAAAATGAACGACGAGGCAGCTGTGATTTAAACTAACTGTTTCAATTTTGTGTTCCTTGATGTATAAACATTATTGCTTATGTACATTTATGGAAATTAACCAATTGAACCACTGATATATGGTTAAAACAGCAAGCAACTGAAATTCCTTGATTGGAATTAAGAAACATTATCTTCAAAATGAGCCAAAACATCTTCGCGATGTGATGCCATGCTGCTCTCGAGATTTTAAGTTTTATTTGTCTGTAACAAACAGAATCTTTTAAAGGGTTTAATGTGTGAGATAAACACAAATCCTTTATTTTACATGGTAATTCGAACTTTAAAACTACTCACAGCTTACATCAATGATAAAAAGTAAATGCCCGTTACAGACAAATGACTTAAGGTCCAAGATTGCCTACGAGTTAATGAAACAAACGGCTTGCCTGTCTTCTTACTTATACTAATAAACCAAATAACTAAGCGATTACCTCATTTCAGGCGAATCAATAAATTTATAATTCAATTACAATAATTACTCAAATAGATAATATCATTCCGAGTCGTGACTTAAGACTTATCAAAAACAACGGGTAATCTTTCGGTGATCACAAAAGATTTGCCTGCAACAAAAAGTTCAAGTTATAGAAACAGAAATTGTCACCACCCCAATTCAACCCGTGGGTGTCGTAAGAGCCGACTAAGGGAGCAAACTAAGCAGGACAACAGCACTGCAAAGAGAAGGAAAACTTGAAACAAACCCTATACCAACCCGTCTGGCCAGCGTGGTATAGTAGGCCAAAACCTCCTTTCTAAGGAGAGGCCTATGTCCAGCAGTGGACTAGTATAGGCTGTTGATGATGATGATGATGATAGAAACACAAACCTGAATTACTCGAGCTGTCGCTTAGATTCCCCAATCTATCCGTATCAGCAATATCTCGTCCCTATCATTACCTTCCCTTTTATCTACTTTTCCTTTTTATGTACGTCTAATTTCTCTAACTGATTCCTTAAGCGCCAGGTGTAAGGCTTGCCCTCTATTACACAAGTGGGACTAAAGTTACAGATGGTAAAATATGGGTGTTTAATTTGCCTCTGTCGGCCCTGACACTGTGATGTATGATGAATAATGATGAAGGATTAGGTAAATTGGGACAAAATATGAAGTAAATATTTGGATGACTCGTCAGGAAATAGCTGACAATGACATCAAAATGTTTTTTTTTAATTTCAGATCAAACTACAAAACGGTCAGTGCAGTGAAAAACCTGTCCCTGAATGCAGAAGTATTGGCCAGAATGGAGTTCTGCCCTCAAGTTCCAATCACTACTACGTATGCCTTATCAAGAACCAGACCTTGTATCCTCAAATCTTCATCTGCCCTCACGGTTGGCATTTCTGGGGCGGTTTCTGCCAACCTGAACCAGAACCTAAACAAAATCCTGTAGTAACACCAGAGAGTGAAACAAACAAAGAAACAAAAGAAAGTAGCGAAGAGAATTCTGGCAAAGAAGATACTGTCAAAACTTCAACTTACAAAATTGACAATTTCTTCTCAACTGAAAAAGTTGCAACGTATGCTGCTGACACTTTCTTAGCTGATAAATTTGACCTGTCGAATTATGAAACGACTGACGATGTACAACCTTCTCAAAGTGACGATTTTTTCAATTCTTTTGAAAATGATAATGATTTCTGGTGAAGACCTAATCTGTGTTAAGTTTTAACTGTAAATTTTATGTATTAGTGATTATTTGGTATTAAGCTTTTAAAACAATTAGATTCATTAGAAGATTAAAAGAAAAAGAACCAGTGATAAACTGATTCCGCTAACATTTATTTTTGTCTATATTTCTGTATTTCAAGGTGCAGATTTTTGATTGATTTTCCTCATCATTACTGTTACGATAGAAACATTAACTATTAGAGATTTTACTGTTTTACACTAATTAGGTAAGAATAACATAAACTAGCTATCTAATTTAAATATACCTTAAAAAATATTGGTGTGTTTATCTATAAAATCCAAAAAAAATAAGATACTAGATTTATAAAGGTACGAAATGAACGGTGAACAATGTTGTTTGAGGGAGTGCTTCGCGAGTGATTATTGAACAATATAAAAGATACTGATAACATATCTGTATTCAAGAGTGAACTTAAGAAACCATAATTAAAAAACAGTGTGAGGGATCTACGGAGCCCCGGTCGGAACGAAGTTCGATTCACTTCGAAGTTCCTCTCACTATTTAGCAGACGTTTATTATACACGACTGTAACTATAACAAGAAGTGTCCGAAAAAGTCTTGTTACACATTTTTCGGTCTACCTCCCATCCGCTAAACGAACACTTCGTTTCGAAAAATATAAAATTTTCATAAACAAATATGTTTATACGTAAAGAGTTAATTTTTCTAACAGACTAAAGATATATATCTGTTAGTAGTATCCGAATTGGGGGTTCTGCATCACGAATCTCGAACATGTGCAAAGTGATGCAGAAGCCCCAATCCCTATCCGAATTTCTGCGGGGGTTCTGCGTCACTTTGCTCTCTCTTCGCTCGAGCTTCGTGACGCAGAACCCCCAATTTTAACCTACTTCTGTTCACCACATAAATTAAATATTATGAATGTCATTGGAAGTGGACTGTAAGTTTTTATGAGAAATAAATTCTTTAAACCTAATTAAAATATAAATAAGAAGATAAAGACAAACAAACGTCATCGACACATCCGAACATGCTAACAAGCTGCAATAGCAATAGTCAGAGCAGATAGCACGTGCCGGTCGTTACCTAATGATTGATGGCCCGAAATTCTTAAATTGAGATAGAGGGAAAACGTAGCTAGATCGTCATTCAACAAAGTGGACAAACGGCCTAATAAAGAGGTTGCTTCCAGGTAGACCCAGGTTGCTTCCAAACGGTAAGGCTTTGTCCTGTCTGTATTTTTCATTTTTAGTATAGGGTCTTATCGCTTTAACTCAAACTCAAAATTTCTTTATTTCATCAAAATTGTTTGAAATCGTCTTTTGTATAGATTCTAAAGTTATAGACCAAAACATACAACAACAATAATCTCTGTTTATTTGACTAAACAGAGATTGTTGCTATTGTATGTTTTGGTTAACAAAATAAATTTGATAAAAATTATACTCAGATCATGCCTGTGCAGTACATGCCTGTGCCGATCTACAACCGCCCATTTACAAGGGGTTGAGCCTTATGAGAAGAAAGGCAAACAAACTTGTGGCGACTCCCACATAAACATACTACAGCGCCATCTAATGAAGACAAACCGAACTACGGAGTAACTACTAAAATAAGAATTGCTAATCCTGTATCGCGATATAAAGAATTCCCGCGCCGGTTAGCATATATACAACTTCCCAACATCAACCGTTGGGCCGCGGCCCGCCAGGCATGATCACCTCGCCTGGTCGGAGGATCCTCCCCTTGTGTTGGAGGGACATGACACCCGTTCCTTCACAAACTCATGGCCAAAAGGTTTAATATAATCGTAATCGTTTGACAAATACAAGCACATTAAGAGACACAAATGCATTTGGTCGTCGGTTATCTCGCTGACTCGGTGAAAAGCAAGAAAATGATTGCTTATAAACAGTTTTCTGTAGAGTCCTGGTATCCCCCCCGTCAAGCCGGCCCGGCATATGTGCTTAAAACCTGCACGGATGGCGTAGTAATTTAAACGGTCACCTCGCCGATTCCTACTGCGCTGAGTGTTGTGGGTCGGATCCGCACATGGGAAACACTTTGTGTAATTCACAAATTGTTCTTTTGGTTCTGGTTGTTCTTTGTGTCACAGGATATTTTCCTAGTGCGAGAGTTGTCAGTTTTATAAAGAAACCTGGCTCTCCCACGGATAGACCACAATAATGTCCTGAACGTCCTTTAGTTTAATGATGATATTTTAATAGGCTTTAATGCGTTGGAAAAGGAATTTATAAGAAGTATATACCTTATCAAATTGTACTTCTGCCAAGTACAGTTAAACAAAAATCTAATTCTGTCATCGCTATTCACAATGAGACAATCGCGACCGATACCGACCTTTGTGGATGGTACAAAGGCAGTGTTATCACTACGATCTCTGCGAAGCCCCGCTATATAAAGTTTAAGTAAAAAGATATAGCGGGACAAAAAGAATAAAAGGTCTTTTAGAGCTGTTTATTAACTGTTGTTATCTGAAAGTCAAGTTAGGATATATAGAACAATTCTACTATTCGCTTGGACGTTACGTAGTTTGCAAGAAATGGCATACCACTGCACACAATTTAGAGAAAAAATTCAGATTTTTGTTAAAAAAGGTTGCTGTTTGAATACTCAAATGAAAATTTTCATAATTACTTCTTTTATATTTTAGTTTAGTAAATTGCATTGTGCATATGAAGAACTGTTATTCTTGTAGAAGATCGATCTAAAACCTGCTGCAATAATCCTGGGGACCTTTAAGCTGCGCTTGTTGATCACGCTTGGTACATTATGGGTAATCATTTTATTAGGTTTTTCCTCATCCTTTTCTATTGAATATATTATAGATGATTTTAAATACCTATATTTTTTCAATCGTTTGACCGTTTTTAACCGTTTGATGACAACATGACCGTTCTCTAGTACGTAAGTGGGACCAAAATTACAATTAATATAATGTATACATTCGGTCATGTGGTGACGGATTAAGAACACGGAATGTCACCACCCCTATTCGTCCCGTGGGTGTTGTAAGAGTCGACTAAGGGAGCAAACTACTCAGGAAAACAGCACTGCAAATAGAAGTAAAACTTGAAAAAAACCCTAAACCAACCCGTCTGGCCAGCGTGGCATAGTAGGCCTCCTTTTTAAGGAGAGGCCTATATCCAACAGTGGACTATTAAAGGCTGTTGATGATGATGATACATTCAATACGTGTCTGCTTACCTCTTTGAGGACATAATTGTGAGTATACTTGATATTTAAACTCTCTCTCAATTAGATTTAGTCAATATAAGTAGCCAATATCTTAACCAATCTATGTGACCCAGTTATATTATTCCTGTTTTATGTTTAAAATAAATATCTATCTCTCTGAACTTAGACCAAGATACATTTTTCTGCTGAAATTAAGTTTTAACTCCTTTTATCTTAAATTCAGAGGTTATATTACATAGCTTTCGTATAGAATAAAAAATGGCAAAACATAATCTGCATTTGTCTAACAAATAAAATGACTGCAATTAATATTTTCCTTGTGATTGAAGAACAAATCTTGACATTGGCCTTTCAGTTCAAAACACACTTAAATTGATCGGCACAGACATCGTGTGTCTGGAAATGCAAATGTTACTATAAACACAGTCAAGACTACACTTAGTCCTTTTTGGTTACCCGCTTCAAGTTATCGTTTAAACCACACAACATTTGCATAGTTAACTGTATACAAAAAGATGTACCTTTGACATTAAACTTTGACATTGCATCCCGCTGATTCCTGTTAAAGTTATCTTCGCTTTTGCTAATATTGCCAAGAGTTTTATAAGTACGTAATAGTTTTATTAATACGTACAAAACACTTCGGGTATCAGCAAAATAAAGCTATAACATTATAACCTTTTCTTTCCAAGTCATCTTAAATTGTTTTTCTCGCTCTTGCAGTTCACCTGTTGTTTGTGTGAATACATCCATCCGTCTTCAAGAAATATTAAAAAGATTCACAAATAGGTTTTCACATAATAGATTCATTCTACGTATTTTGTATATATATGTGGAATGAATCCGTGTACTAGAAATATTTAAGCCGTCACTTAACTTGTGTACAAATGTCATTGATGTTACGATTTTTGTCCTAAAGCTTGTTTCATATGGATCTGATAATTATTGTTATAATGTCAGTTATTTAACCGACTGCGTGCGTCACTAGTTCATACGTCTAGAAATATAAACGAGGAAATATTATATCTGTTCCTAATTCCCTTATTAGGAGGTGTTTTTAAAATGAAAGAGGACACTCGAATTGGTTTCATGTGATTATCAGACCTTAGTACGCAAAATACTTTTTTGCTGTTTTCTTGCGGATCTCACGTTCATGTTTCCGTTGGTTTCCTGACCATTTTGCCCCCTTACATAATTTTTTATATACTCTGCTTATATTAGGTATTGTTAATCAATTGGCCTTATTGGCCTTTTGTCGTGGTTATAATATAGCCCTTATAATTGGCCTTGGAATCCTTGTATGTGTAAAAGTCACACGCCAATTCCATAGAAAAAGATAAAGATAATAATAATCTTTGACATTACATTAGACCTTTATAATAGATTCTAATACTATCTTTTTCCAATTTATGGTATTTGTTATTTGTTTAATTTATATGCCTTTCTGTGTTGATTCCTAAGTACGCATCACTGTTCCCTTACATTTCTCTGTTGTCCTCTATTCGATCAAGGTTCGCTGGAAGAAAACTCAGTTTTGGGCTAAGCTCGCCTTTGTACATGACATTTCCTTGTTACTTATATACATGCACGTGTTCAGTGTATACAATAAAGAATAAATAAATAAAAATAAATAAATCTTTACTAACTTTACGTTAAATAAACAAAATTTAATTACAATAAGAAGTAGTTGAAAATCCATATAATTCCAAGAAATATATATTGATGAGTATCAAGCGTTAAGAGTTAAGCCTATTATATTGATGTCATTCTCGCTTCAGCTTACGAAATCGCTACTCGTTTATGACATACCCTACAAAGCATTTGTGCAGGGCTAACGGTGTAAAAAAACGAGCACCTCTGACATTAGACACTAGAATTGCATCACAGTTCGCCGTGGGAAGCTTACCTATAGGCGCATACGCGACTATGGGCTGTTATGTATGGAGAAGGCTTTCTTAATCAAAGTACCTAAGTTGTACTGAAGCCAACCATCAGATACAGAGATCGTAGATTATTACTGTACCACTGTATTGTATTAGTATAGAGAACACTAGCTCCTGCCCATCGCAAAATTTATTCTTCTATTCCCAGGAGACAATATTTGTATCGGTGTGAAAAATTCCCCTCTGTCCTCTTTCGTACCCCTTTTCTTTTCTGTGCGGGAATCTTCCTGATATCACCCACAGTGGGGTTATTATGTCGGACTGGAACCGACTAAAAACTACAGGTACCAGTAACTGGGGAACCACGTGTACCTTAGAAAGGAAAGCCCTGAAAAGTGAGCAGGCGCTGATCCTCAAACAGTCACCACTCGTCATAAGGCAAACAATAAAAGCGAGCTATTCGTACTTTTCTGACACTAGTGACGGAATGTAAACAAAATCGTGTAAAACCATATTTCGGCACAAGTGGACCGGCTCGACCGAACTGACACCAAGGCCTCACAGAAAACCAGAGGTACTGAAAGCCCAACCTCCCTACTTTATTCAACGGGGGAGGACTTAAAAGGTACCAATTTACTTATATCTCTTGAGTTGCAGGTGTTCACAGGCGACGGTAGTCACTTACAATCAGTTGACTGATTTTCCTGTTTACCCCCTTCATAAAAAAAAATCACAAATAACACTTTGTCAAGATAAGAACTTGGGGCTAGTAAAATTGAAATATTTGAGCTGTTTAACATCCTGTATTAGATATATGTTACCGAAAATTATAACCGTTAAATATGTCATTTAAATTAGACAAATAAATGTCAAGGAATGTGTCTAAAGCCGTTTTGTAGTAATATATTAAATAAAAAAACACATTTTTAATCTAAAACTAATAAATATAGTCGATTAGTTACATTAAAATCTATTTTGGGGTGCCAGATACCACGGCTCTAATGGCGATGCTACAAGAGCAGGCCCGCTGCTTGGAAGAACAGCTGCAGGGGGACATGAAGGAACAAGGTCCATCGCTTGGAAGAACAGCAGCAGCAGTTTCGGAGTCGAGCCATGCTGATATCTGACTCCTGAATTAATAATTACAAACTCCAATTTCAAATTATTAATTTGCTTTAAATAGGGTTACATAATGTGGTTTTATAAATCAAGTTTGATATAAATCGAACAGGCCCATTTAGCCATGAAAATAGCATGCAAATTTAACAAATATATAAAGTTCGTATATCCTTACAAAAAATATATTATTATTATTATCTTTCCTCAGGTCAAACATGTATCAATTATATTGATATTTTAATTATTTAATAAACAAAACCGTTTACAGTCTACTAGCTGTACCTTGCCACGCTTCGCTTTGACACATTGTACTTGCATTGATGAGGAATAAAGAATAAAACTGAGGCGAAAAATAGATTAAAACAATCTTTGAAGAGGTTCGTATTTCCTCACGAAATTTGAGCTCAAGCGATTAAGTACTTTTTGAGTTTTTGAAGCGTACACAGACCAACTTTTAAATGCATAGATTTTAAATATCAATATTGCTAATTGTATAAATAATTATCTAATCAAATGTACGTCAGTTAAGAAACGTTAAGAATTATAAAATGAATAAACCAGCACCCTTTTTAGGGTTCCGTACCTCAAAAGGTAAAAAAGGAACCCTTATAAGATCACTTTCTTGTCCGTGTGGCCGTCTGTCCGTGTGTCACCACCGATTTTCTCAGAAACGGGTAGACTTAGCAAGTTGAAATTTATACCAGATACTGAGGTTTATGGTCCCTATTAGGTGTATAAAAATCAAGCTCTTGAGTCAACACGATAAAAAGATATGGGCAAATTTCTAAACGTCAACACGATAAAAAGATATGGGAAAACTTGTAAGTACCAAAATTTACCGTAATTTTCAACTTTTTTTATATTTTATAATTTTCTTGTTACTTGTGCTGTAAGACCTTGCTTTTTACCAAATTGACAATTCTAGGTCAACCGGAAGTGCCCTATAGGTTTTGGGTCGGAAACCTATATGGTAGTTCCCGTTGACCTAGAATCATGAAATTTGGCAAAAAAAACGTCTTATAGCACAAATAAAGGAATAATTCTAAAAAATAAAAAAAATTGAAAATTAAGATTAATTTTGGTACTTACAAATTTTCGCGAAAATCTACGTAAAATCTGGGTAGGTACGGACCCTTGCCGCACGAGTTCGACTCGTACCTGACCGTTTTTTTTAAATATTACTACTTGAGACTTATTCGTGTTAATATTTTCTATTGTATGGTACCGTCCATCTGTCTCATGATTCAACCTTAAAAATACATCTTCTGTAGAATATCTTGTATGTAAGTAGTAGCAACTTGTTAGGTCATAATTTGCCTCAAAGCCATTTAATTTATTATATCAGTTTGTTTTACAATTTAATGTATCATTAAGAAACAAACCCCGTATACCCACCCCAGCCTGCTTCTGCTAGAGTGACAGATGGCCTCACCTGTCACCCTCAGACCTGCGCTTATGGAGGACGGAGTTCGTTCTGCGACCTCCGGCGCCCGAGGCGTCTACGGTACCTGGCCCGTTCTCGGGCCTTATGAAACAAACCCTATATCATATACCATTCCGTATAGCGTGGTATATCAGAACAAAACTTTTCTAAGCAGAGGCCAATGTCTAGCCAGTAGACCACTAAAGGCTGATGATGGTGTCATTTATTTTTAGCACTGCAGAGAGAAAGAAAACTTGACACACCCTATACGAACCCGTCTGGCCAGAGTGCTATAGTAGACCAAAACCTCCTTTCTAAGGAGAGGCCTATTATAGCAGAAGCAGGCCGGGGTGGCGGCGAGCGCGTTGCGAAGCGCGCTCGCTTCCAGGGAGCAGAGGGAACATGGGGTACCCACACGGGGGGGGGGTCGTCTACTTGTTGTAGATGGCCCGAGGTAGGTCGGAGCACCAGGGACTTCCTTTCTAGGGTATACCTGGTTCCCCGGCTATTAGTACCCGAGACGGCGTGCGGTTTTAGCCGGTTCGAGTCCGACATGCCACCGACAGGTGGTATCCGAGGGGATTTCTGCACTGCACACAGCAATATTTACATTAAGTATTTTGTATTTAAAAAAAAAACAATTTAAATTTCCCTTGAAAACGCTGAATAGTGTCATGGCGTCTTGAAAGACGTCACAGTCTGCGAAATAAAACTGTTTACATCTGTGTCCAGTGTCAACTGTTTTCTAAAAATGAATAAGGAGTAACCTTTTTTGTTGTATGAAGACTTGAGATTGGTGTTCGTTGTCACGTGAGTTAATGCCTATTTTATGGGAATTTATTTTTTAAAAGTATTAATAATAAAAGTATTAATAACTTTTATGAGAAATAGACTGGTTTTTTCTTGTCTATGTCCCTGCATTTATAATTTGAAACTATAAACCAAGCAATTTGTTATTAGTGGACACTAGCCTATTCTATAATGAGCAGGATTTTATATTCTTGTCCTGGCTATTGCCTGAGATGAGGGTCAAAGTTGGCCAGGACTAATTGTAACTTCAAAAAAAAACGTAATTTAAGCTGTAATAGACTTGTCCAACAATAACAGGAAATATGAAACAAAACTATTATAAATATAGGCTATCTAATTAGCATACGAAATTCCAGACAAGTGGCGCCAGTCTTGTAAAAAACGACTTATTCAACAGCGTAGTACAATAATCTACGTAATACACATATAAAAAATGCCTTCCATACTATTTAACTCCAGCGCAGGAGTTTTGTTAGCCAAAATGCCAAGTCGATTCGACTACACAGACCGCTACATTGTATACTACAACAACACTGACTTGATACTTGGCGTGCTAAATTCCACTTTGCAAAATATTTTGACGTTCTTTTAACAAATGATTCAAAACTGAATCATACGTGAACTGTGTGATTTTGATACTTTGTGTTAAAGTAGTGTAATAATAAAAATGAAGTTGAGTTTACTTTTCATGTTTTTTACGTTCTGTCTACAAAACCTCCTAAGGATGATTATACCTTCTTGAGCCCATTCTGGTGTTTAATATAAATCTAATTTATGTTTAAATAGACAAATTGATGAATTGGAATATTGAAGGGAGCACCCTTCCCTTCTTACCCACTAACCGAAGGTAAGTTTCCTTTGTCTCGCCTCAAAACTTTTTTATTCCCAAAGAAAGCAGCAAACCACAAAAAAGCAGAAAAGCTCTTTAAAATTGAGAAAATAATAGTAACCTGCTGATGATGTTATTCTTCTATAAAAGTTATAAAACATTTTACCATATCTGTATGTTACTTGAGAGAAAGGGAGAGGCGTATGTCCAGCAGTGGACTGCGATAGGCTGATGATGGTGTGGATGGTATGTTACTTGATCATCATCATCAGCTATTGCCATCCACTGCTGAACGAAGGCCCCCACAAGAAGTGCCAACCATACCGGTCTTGGACAGTTCGCATCCATCCGAATATGTGTTACATATTTATTTAATATTTTTTACTTGCTGTTTTAATTAATTTTCATCTTTTGTATCAGTATCAAATACTGTGAAGGAATAAACAATATAATCAATTAATTCAGGACTCGTATTTTATCTCCATACACAGGATACAATTACAAATGTCCATATCAATAAAATTATTAAAAAGAACAGTATGATATTGGTATATTGGAAGAGGTCTATGCTCATCAGTGGAGTAGGTACGATAAGCTCATTGATGATACATAATGATCTAAAAAAATATTCACGCCTTTTTCTAATACATTTTAGAATGAAAACAGGATACTACCTTGATCTAGTAATTTTTTCGCTTTGTTTAGAACGGAGTTTTTGTTAATTTATATTTAAAAGTGTAAAATTTAAGAATAATGTGTAGATATTGTTTTAAAAATTTGTTCAATACATATACACAATTTTGTTCTTAATCTTTACCATCCCTTATCTTATTTATATAATTAAAAATGTATTTAGTTAAATCTTTGTGTATATAACTACCGAGTCTATACCTAACTTGCCTATTAAATTGACTGCGTGGTATTCAACTTTACTCAAAAAATAAAACGTTTAGTACGCCCCGTAATAAAGTATATGAAAGAAAAAATGACCGACACGCGACGCGCGTATATACGGGACTTATATACCCGAAAGTATCAAGCTGTGCAGCACCAATCACACCAAGACACACATTTACCGCCAAAGCCGTTCAAGCGAGCACCTCGCTACCATTCATTACCGTACCGCACAAACTGATGCACTCGTTGCTAGCAAATCTCGCTTTTTGACACCCAGTGTTCTTTAATTAAAAAATATAACGTAATACGTAAAATAAATAAATTTTTTTAATGACCAGTGTTAACTATTTTTACTCCACACTACTGTCAAACTGACATTTTTGTATCTGAAATTAGAGATTTGCGCGGGAATTGTGATCCATTAATTGTGTTTTTTTTTATTTCTTTCACAACGATCGTGAGCGAGGTGAGTTTATTATGTTACTTTTGCATGTTTTTCTTTTTTTATGGCCAGTAATTGTGTTTAGATTGTAATTTTTCATTTCGAGACCTCAATCCAAATAAATGTTTAGTAATTTAAAGAATATTTAAGCGTATCTAAACAAAAACTCAAACGGTGTGGTTGACCCAAAAAAACATAATAGGTATTATACTAACAGTTTTTGCATTACTTTTGTTAAAGTTTACATTATAAATATTGTGTTGTAAATTATTTACTATTGTATGGGTTACTATAATACATTTAGTTTTTATGTTAAACAGAATCATGTTTTTACTGAGATGTGTATATTTTCAGTAATATAAGGGTCTACGCCTACGAACATTTAATTATTGAATAACCATGTTTTTTCACAGGCTATAGTAAATGTTCACCTAAAGCCAGACCCTTAAAGTCAAGCTTATAGTAAACCATAAAAATTCTTTCTTCTTTAAAACTTCTTTAATATTAAACCTTATTTGAGGTTTTTATATAACAAAAATCATTTTGAATGTGGAATCAAGGTGGTCTCTTTTATTATTATTTTACATTCTTTGACTTTTTCGTTCTTTATGGTAGCAAAGAAGACCACGATTCTCTTAATTGTTTGTTGTTATAAGTACATTCCTTGTTATACCCATTTCTGTTACTGGAGCAGAAATTCGAATCATACAAAAGTTTGGAATAAATTGAAATTGGGGTCAAATTTAAATATGACACGTCATAAAAGCTTTTATCGTCCTTAGCAGTCTGAAATGACTGTAAATATAATGTCCTTTTTATTTCTTGTTAATTCGTTTTCATTTTTAAATGCGACATACTTAACAATTAATATAATCGACCTTTTTGCTATTCTAGTACTAAATAACAAGGAAATAAAACCTATTTCCTGTTTTGATTTTCCTATTATAAGTCCTTAAAAATTTACTATCATCATCAACAGCTTTAAATAATCCACTGCTGGACATAGGCCTCTCCTTAGAAAGGAGGTTTTGGCCTACTATACCACGCTGGCCAGGCGGGTTGGTATAGGGTTTGTGTCAAGTTTTCCTTCTCATTGCAGTGCTGTTGTCCTGCGTAGTTTGCTCCCTTAGTCGGCTCTTACCACACCCACGGGATGAATAGGGGTGGTGACACTCCGTATTCTCCATCTGTCACCACACGGTATTATTAAATTAAAATTAATATAAATGTAGGTACATATAAATTACATTTTAAATAAATTTGAATATAAAATACACTGATATTGGGTAGAGGAACCAAGCTAGTGGTGGTGGTGCAGAAAGCCTCTGCAACAGAAACCTCCTCACAATACGTGCCATGTCGAATGGTACTGCTTCCTCCATCTGGTTCTTAATCCAGCTGCTTTTCATATGCCTCTGAAGGTTTTGATCAAGGCTCTTTATTTTTATTCTATAAATATATCCGTATCTGTCTCTAGATTCAAAATTTTGTATCCATCACATCTCTCCATTAAAATAAAACAGGACAACAACCAGTCTAACCAACCAACAACAACAACTAATCCATGCTGTGGTCTCCTGTAATTGAAGGAGTACACATACTAATACCCGTGTGAAATGTATTTTTGATATTTTGTGTACATCCTTTGTTGGAGATCCTTAAATAAATAAATAAACATACAAACGGTCACTGTTGATAACCACGACGCAGTGTTAGGGTTAAACATAAATAATTATTGCTGTTCATTTACTCGGAAAAAGGATAATTCTAGGACTTAATGGATACATGTATAAATATGGGTAAATTAATGAATATAAAATCCTATCATTATAAGCTTAAAATCTAAATACGGTCTGACAAATAGACAGGAAAATATTATTTAATTTTGCAATGCCTGGAAAAGGGTACTAAGTTGCCTCGATGGCGCAGTGGCAGTTTATGCGACTGCTGTGATGAGGTCTCGGGTTCGATTCCCGGGTCGGACCAAATGTTTGTATGATCTGCGAATATTTGTTTCGGAGTTTGGGTGTTTTCTATGGATAATGTGTATATATTTACAAAAAAAGTATATAAGTATTCTATCAGTCATTCCAGCTTTTATAGTACAAGCTTTGCTTAGTTTGAAACTAGATGGCGTTGTGTGCCAGATGGCCGAAATATGAAACAAATCACTATTATTACCTTTAATGTACACTTGGTGGGCAAACAAAGATTTGATTTGATTTGATTAATATTGCCTTATAGTGATCGTACACAGGTGATCTCCGAAGCATCCGGTATTAAAGGGTTCCGTGATGCCTCTCGGGCCAATCCTCCATAACAGGTCTTAGCGCCGCGATCACGGCGTGCCAAGGGGAACTAGGTCTACCCTAAGAAGGAAATCAATGGTACCCGGACGGACCCTGGACCATCTCCCCTCACCCCTGATTCTAGGATGGTGGAACTCAAAGGGCGGCAATGCACTTGTGACTCTTGAGTTGCCAGTATCCATGGGCGGCGTTGGTTACTTACCATCAGGTGACCCGTATGCTCGTTTGCCCTCCTATGCCATGAAAAAACTTTATTATCATCATCATCAACAGTCTTTAATGCTGGACATAGGCCTCTCCTCAGAAAGGGGGTTTTGGCCGACTATACCACGCTGGCTAGGCGGGTTGGTATAAGGTTTGTTTGAAGTTTGCCTTATCTTTTGCAGTGCTGTTATCCTGTAGTTTTCTCCAATAGTCAACTGTTACGACACCCACTGGATGAATAAGGGCGGTAACACTCCGTATTATTAATCAAATTAAACAAACATTACATTTTGACGGGCCTTTTGGTCTAGTGGTTAGTGACTCTGACTGCTAAACCAGAGGTCTTGGGTTCGATTCCCACCCAGGACAAATATTGTGTGATGAGCTCAGTCATTTGTTCTGTGTCTGGGTGTAATTTATCTATACTATGTATTTATTTAAAAATATATAAGTATGTTTATCAGCAGTCTGGTTACCATAGTACAGGCTCTGCCTAGTTTGGAATCAAACAGCCGTGTGTGAGATGTGAGAGATATATCATTATCATTATTAATTTACAGTCGAACTAAGAACGTTGTACCATTTTGAAGTCAGCTAAAACAAAAAAATAAATTTATAAATATTTTACTATCGTACGATTATAATTCTATCAACTCGTTGACAGGAGTCTTTCAGTGTTGTCACAAAATGTCAATGCCTATCATTATTCTACTAAGACCAATAATTACTGTAGTCGTATATTCTAAAGCAACTAAATTAATTAATTTTAAATGTTTGTAAAGTTAAATTAATTACACGTAAAGTATTTAATAAATTTACAATAAATACGTGTTAAAATGAACAATTTTGCTTTAAATAATGCACTTAAAATAATATCTAATATAAAAACACTCATACTAAGTACTAATACATAGAATTAATAGCTTAAATGGGCGAGTTGAAAAAGAAACTATTATAAAACAAATTGCCCCTCACGCTCGAGCCAGCGGCTACTCCTACGGCAGCAACGCACTTGTGACTTTTGAGTTGAAGGTGTCCATGGGCGGCGGTAGTTGCTTACCATCAGGTGACCCGTCTGCTCTCGTTTGCCCCTTATACCATAAAATGTTTGTTACAGTCTCTTGAAAGTATCAGTCTTTTTTTTTTTTTTTTTTTTAAAAAGACAACTCCCGCATTAGGAAAATATCCTGTGTCGCGGGGGACTTTACAAACATACATGAAACGGACACAAATAACACCCAGACTTGGAACAACAATTTGTGGATCACACAAAGTGTCGTCCCATGTGGGGTTTGAACCCACAACACTCGGCGTAGTAGGAAGCGGCGTGGCGACCGCTTAAACCACAACGCCATCCGTGCAGTCAATCGAGCTAATCTCAGGAATTACTTGTTCGAATTAAAGAATATTTTAGTATTGGATAGCCTTTTTATCAGTGCCAAGCTGTATAATATTACGCCACGACCAATCCGAGCCGAGTATCAATGCAAAATGTTGCAAAAATGGGGTTAATTTATTCCTTTTGATGGAGGCATACAAATTGGTCGGAAAAGCTAGTAGATTATCTAACTGGGAGGGTTAAAAAAGCACTAGTATATTTGACCTACATTGGACGCAGTCCTTTTTAAATATTCTTATAAAAGAGAAACATAAACATAAGAAGCAACGAGTGTAACCCAGTTTCACTCTCACAATTAAGATGAATTTTACAACACATCCCAAGCTATAATCCGTCTAGAACCTAATACATATACTCGAATAAATTATAGTTAAAAAAAAACACGCTTTTGTAACTAACCGAACTAACAAGTAGAAAATAATTTTTGATAAGTTCAAAAAGAAAAATCATTTCACCGTAAAAATGCGCGGAATTGTATTGATGCTGAATTGTTGTAAAAATATTTATTGACAGATATTGGTAAAAATAAAGTTATTATACAATAAAATACCTTGTATGGAAAAAGCCGTTAACCTCGAAGATCCTGATCAGGATAATCGGCCAAATTTCTCAAATTATTGTATTGTCATCGGTATTTGATTAGATATACAAATATGTATATACGGTAAGTGATACCAACCTAATAAAAGCGTGTTATGAATAAATCCTCCTTCTATCGCAGTTGGTTAAAAAGGGCGGAAAAATAATACCTTATTCTTACAACAAGTTAGTAGTTTTTAATTAAAATAAACTATTATAAGAAACAGATACGATAAATTTTGAAATAACTTAACAGACATTTAAATTCAGCAATAACTAAACGAATAAAATTATAATGAAATATGTTACTTTTAACCTTAATATATATTTGTTATATAATAGAAACTTCAATGTAACCAAATGCAATTCTGCATTTACATGTCAGATAAATCACGACATTTTAAATGTCAATATTACTATAAATGTAACATACAGATTCTGACAACTAATGCTCGTAGATAAAACAGCTTTATTAATTTACAAAAACTTAACATCATTATACATCAATAGCCTTTAATAGTCCACTGCTGGAC